ACCTGGTCAGGATCAATTACTTTTAGGAAAAACTCCTAAAAGGCATTCTTGTGTTTCACCTTTGAAAAGTAGTTCTTCACCCTAATAAAAATAAAGTTGCAAAAAATGTATCTTTGGAATGGAGGATTCTACAGTATTTAACTTTCCATAAATTATATTGTTTCCCTCTACATGTTAGAACCCGTTCTTAAAAGCAAATGTGTCGCCACCAATGTCTTCAATTTGCTGTAATTGCAATGAGAACCATCTTGGGTACACCTGTGCAGGAAACAGGGTGAGAGTTCTTTAGGGGAAAAAAATGGAAAGGAAAAAACATACCTAATGTAATGCTTCAAACATGTACCAATATCTCTTGACTTGTCAGCCAAAGACAGACAGACAACCTGCAGATTTATACAGGGTTCATGTGTCCCCCATCTTATTATTGCTAAGGTGAATGTGCTAGACACTTATTGAATTGGTGTTCTATGTCTGCTGTAATAAGTGACCATGAGTTTAGTGGCTTAAACGAACACACATTTACTATATTACAGTTCTGTAGGTTAGGAGTCCAACAAAGGTCTCACTGGGCTAAAATCAAGGGGTCAATAGGGCTGCCTTACCTTCTGGAGGCTCTAGGGGATAATTTGTTTCCTTGTCTTTTCTGAAAAGGTTTTAGAGGTCACCCACATTCCTTGGCTTGTGCCCTCTTTATCCATCTTCACAACCAGCAACAGCAGGTAGAGTCCTTCTCGCTTTGCATCATCCTGACCTTCTTTTCTGCTTCCCAATTTTAAGGTCCCGTGTAATTACAGGGGACCCATCTGAATAGTCCAGGATAATCGCCTCATCTCAAGGTCTTTATCCTAATCAGAGCTGCAAAGTTTCCTTTTCTATGTGATGTAATATATTCACAGGTTTGGGGAATTACAACAGGGACAACCTAGAGGGGGCATTATTCTGCTGCTGAGAACACTACTAACTAAGGTGCCAACTAATATTGGAATAAAGAAAAAAAAACTTGTCTACTTTCAACAAAGTTTAGTAAAATTAAGACAGTATATGAAAGTGCAATGTAGAACAGCAAAGCAAGACAAAGTCAAATCAGAACCCTAGAAACGCTCCATTGATGACCATACTATTGCACAAGAGCTAGTCAGTTTAGGGCTTCCCTGGTGGCGCAGTGGTTGAGAATCTGCCTGTCGAGGTAGGGAACACGGGTTCGTGCCCCAGTCCGGGAAGATCCCACATGCCGCGGAGCGGCTAGGCCCGTGAGCCATGGCCGCTGAGCCAGTGCATCTGGAGCCTGTGCTCCACAACGGGAGAGGCCACAACACTGAGAGGCCCCCGTACCGCAAAAACAAACAAACAAAAAAGAACTAGTCAGTTTAGATTAGGTTTCTTTCTCCAGATGTTGCTTCCCCACCCTCCCCCCACCCCCAGGTTGACTTTGATGGTGGAAATCTCATCCAAGACTAAGAGCCTGTGGCAGAGGAAGTGAAGGTGGTGGTAGAGTCGGTGCACCTGGGACCCCACTAACTTCTGACTATGAACTTTCAGCTGGTCTCCGTGGAACAGATGGGTTTTCTCAGACCCACCCTTGCATAAACACCAGGTGGACAGGGGGGGACGCCATGCCCCTTTCCTTGGAACTTTGCCTTGTAAAGAAGCAGGCATCAAAAGGTTAACCTGTCTGGGGCCTCCTGAACCAGATGTTCCAGGTCCCAGTAGAGAGCTTCCTGACTTTTGGCCACACATCCCCGGGGTCGGCCTAAGGCCCGTGCTGCCTGGGTTGGCTGTGGAGGATGAGCTCCTCAGGCAGAGCCATCTTGCTCTGTCTCCACCAAACCAGGTTCTGACCAGAGAGCAATGTGTTCATGTTTCTCAGGCTGGTGGAAGATACTCCCTCAGACTGGGGCAGTCTCTTCCCATGTTGGCCTGCTCTGAGGGTCGGGGGGGAAGGGATGGGAGGATGGGAGCAAGAGGGGCAGGAACAAGAAGGAGGAGTGGGAACAAAAACGCCTGGGGAGAAGGTAGGGGAGGATGGCAAGGACGGGGGAGGCAGAAGCTGAGGAAGAATAAGGAGGACAATGACCAGAGTATGAATGCCATGGAGGTTCTAGCCTCTGGTCCCAGAATGGCAGCTGCCCTCTCTTGAACTTCCCCTGACCTCATGCTGGACACACACACACCCCAGCCTCCTCTCTCATCCTCCAGACTCCTTTATCCCCAGAAGAGCAGCCTCCCATGCCTTGATTCTGGGGATCTTTCCTTTCTCCCTAGGTTTCCCCAGAGCTAGGCACAGATCACTTACCAGCAGCAAAACCCTGGTCTGTGGTTGTGGAGAGTCCAAAGCACGGAAATCTCTCATGAGAAAAGGAAATGCAGGCCACATGGGGTCATGGGTCACTCTGCAGAATCTCAGTCCAGCTGTCCAAGTCATGCTAGGTTGATATTTGGGAAGATGTCAAACTTGTTTAAAAAAAAAAAAATCTAAGAAGATCCTTGGTGCAGGTCATTGTTACATGGAGTAAATTGCACTATGAAATCCTAAACCAGGTGATCAATCTTCATTCTAAAGTCACCGATCAGCCCTAACAAGGGCAAAACAGGTTGCAAGTACTAATTACAAGAAATGAACAAAACTGGGGCAGATCCCACAAAGGCCAGTTAGGAGAAGCTGCTTGGGCCACTGGCTAAGTAACCTCCTGTATTAGTCAGCTTGGGCTGCCATAAAAAATTACCATAGACTGGGTGGCTTAACCATAAATCTGTTTTCACACATTCTGGAGGCTGGAAGTCCAAAATCAAGATTGATGTTCTTGCCAATTCAGTTTCCAATGCGAGCTGTCTTCATGGCATGCAGATAGCAGATGCCTCACTGGGTCTTCACATAGCCTTTTCTCTTTGCTTGAGCTGGGGTAGGGCAGGAGCCCAAGCTCTCTGGTATCGCCTCTTGTAAGGACACTAATCCTATCAGATCAGGGTCCCAAGGCTATGACCTCATTTAATCTTAATTACTTCCTTAAAGGCCCCTTCTCCAAATACAGCCCTACAGGGATTAGGGTTCAAGATATGAATTTGGGGGGCGGGTGGTGGAACACATACATTCAGTTCCTAACACCCTCTCCAGCCTCCTCCTCCCATGAAGGCGTTTGCAGCTCTCAGCTCTGGTCCCCGGGAACTTCCCAGGCACTGGGGCCTCAGATTCCTCTCCCCACAGACTTTCTCCTTCTCTCTCTCTGACTCAAATGCCTCAACACGGGGCACAGCTGTTGACTGGCTGACATTCAAAGGCAGTGGACTCAGTTGCTTTCACCTGGCTTTCAGAAGAGAGAGGCCACCACTGACTGATATGTTTGCAGAAATGTGTTCACTGAGGAGACTGGCTGTGGCGGCAGAATAATGCTTCCCCAAAGATGTCCACATCCTGGTCCCTGGAATTTGTGAACATGTTACTTGACATGGCGAAAGAGACTTTGCAGGTGTGATTAAATTAAGGACCTTGAGATGGGGAGATTATCCTGGAGGGTCCAATGGAATCACAAGGGTCCATATAAGTGAAAGAGGGAAGGAGAGTTGGTGTCAGAATAATGTGTTTTGAGAACAACTTGATCAGCCGTGACTGGCTTTGAAGATGGAAGGGGACTGTGAGAGTAGAATGTGAGCATCTTCTAGAGGCTGGAAAAGGCAAAGAAAGTGATCCTCCCTTAGAGCCTCCAGAAAGAACCTCACCTCCACTGTCACATTAATTTTAGCCCAGTGAGGTGCATCTTGGACTTCTGACCTCCAGAACCATAAGATAATAAATGCGTGTTTTTACAAGCCACTAACTGTGTGGTAATGTGTTACAGTAGCAACAGGAAACTCCTACATTGGACATTGGTGGAAAGAGAGGATTTAGAACCAGTTTTGGTGGCTATTTCTTACCACGGCTTTAGATCAATTACTCTACCCTCAGAAATATGAACTTTCAAACTTTTCAGTTCTCAGTGGAGATAATGTAAATAATACTGGATGATGTACCCACCATCCCTGTATAAGAGGTTGAAACCCTCACCCTGTGCTCAGGGATAAACATCTAGTATGCTCCGAGGTTGGGTCGTGCACACGTGTATATTTGAGGCAGGGTTGCAGTGGCTTGGGCACTGGATTTATAATGTTATCCACAGGGCTGGCTGCAGGGTGCTGGGTACAGGGGGGATCTTTTGCCATATCTAAGCCATCTAGTATCTGAGCCCCCTTTGTATGAGGAACTTCCCACATTCTGCAACTTTTAAGGATCACATACTTGCTTTCTTAGTTTTCCTAGGGGCTAAGGTGTGGGTCTATTACCAAGAGCTGGCCAATCCTCATCAGCAACAGCTACTCCAGCATTTGACAGGAGTTGAGAGACACAAGGAGTAGGCCCCGGGGAAATTTTTTCTGTCCCCTGCAACAGCAGAATCTCCCTACCTCAAGATCCTTAGTTTAACACCGACCAGGTGCAGCAGAAGTCATGGAGCCATTGGAGGTGTCTAGTGTCCAGGGCCAGTAGTGTCACCTGTGCAAAGCTACAGGGTCTGTCACTCAGCAGGGGGCACTAGTGTCCTTCCCATTTGGTCTGTGTGCTCCCTTCCATTGGCCTTTCTTATTCTTCCCTGTTTGTACAGTCTGGTTCTCCAGTTTGCTGGAGATTCTCTGAGCTATTACTATCCCTGGAATAAAGCATATTTCAGATGAAATGAGCCAGAATTTATTTCTGATGGCTGCAGAGAGAGAAAGGAGGGGAAAGGGGGGAGGAAAGGAAGCTTCTTCCTGGAAGTTAGCTGGGTGCTGAGTTCCTTTGTTGTTGACTCCAAGATTCTCCAGAAGAGTCAACTTCCCCCTTATGCCAAAGGCATCCTCAAGGATCAAGTTACACCACTCCTTGCTCTCTGGTCTGAAAACACAAATTGGCTGCTTTCTGCAGTCTCCCCCCTCCCCGCCCTCAGGTCTAACCCGGTCTTACCCAGTAAGAGAAAACCAACCAACCAACCAACCTCTCTTCAAGCAAACAAGTCATCTTTCTATCCCTTATCTTGGTCATCACCTTCTTTTTCAGAATCTTCATTTCTTGTATTCTGTATGGTGGGGAAAGGAAAAACATGGTCCCTGGGATACCACGAGATTGAAGTATAGAAGGACGTGCACAGAAAATACACCGAGTAGCACTCTGAGATGAAACCCTGAATCTGTATGTCTATACACAAGACACATACATATATACTTGTATCCATTGTTTTACAACTTCTTTACTACTTAAAAAATTTTTGTATCAGCATAACACACGATCCCAGAATTCCTTTCCCCGGAGTGTAACGCAGGACAAAAGGTAAGAATTCGAGGAGAGTGGCAAAATCCCGCTGTATCTCAAATAAAGGATAAGAGGCGTGTTACCTCGGCTTGGTGGACTCCCGAAGTGGGCGGATATTGTGACGTCACTGCCCCTTCAGCAGCCGGCCCGCCCATTGGTCATCTCGGCAGGGCGGGGACAGGGCGGGGGTTGGAGGAGAGGAGCCGCCTTAGAGGTCAGGAATGGGGCTTGGCTTATGTAAATCTTGCAGCTTATGGGTACAATTCCCGGCGAGCCACTTACCGGACTGTGGAAGTTTTCGGGAGAAGTTGCTTGGATTTTATTAGCAGAGTCGTTTGGAGGGGCTGAGAGGCGTGGAAGGGGAGGGGGTGCGGAGGGTGGGTGGGGAGCGTGTGTGTACAGTGTAGGCGTCTAAGGCTGTACGGGGGGGCGGGGAAAGCGATTCATACTTACCTGGCAGGGGAGATACCATGATCACTAAGGTGGTTTTCCCAGGATGAGGCTCACTCATTGCACTTCGAGTGTGCTGACGCTTGCGATTTCCCCAAATGCGGGAAACTCGACTGCATAATTTGTGGTAGTGGGGGACTGCGTGCGCGCTTTCCCCCTACAATTGGTGTTTAATAGTAGAATTAATTTCTGTAGTCTATGTAACATACACCCAGGATTTCTGTACTTTTACTGCCGGCTTTACAAGTACTTTAAAAAGTAGGAAGTAGGTGTTTCTGGTTGTGTAGTGTTTAGGAATCCATCTACCAATATTGGCGGCGGGGGTTCGTGTCGGGGAGCGGTCTGGACCCATGAGCCGTGACCGCTACGCCTGCGCGTCCGGAGCTTGTGCTCTGCGTTAGAAGGACCCACGGCGGTGAGAGGCCCGCGTACCTCAAAAAAAAAAAAAAAGCAGGTGCTGTGTGGGAGAGTAGGCGCTGTTTCTATTTTTTTTGGGGGGAATCGTGCATGAACTTTCCATGCAAGTGGTGTGGTGCTCTACAGAAGCCATTTTTGAAAGATTATTTTAGTGCTTTAGTTTCTTACTTTGGCTGCTCCTATACTCCGCAGTAATTAGTCAGGGTTTCCGCAGACTTTTTTTTTTTTTTTTTAAGAAGTTAGGCTTTCACAGTAAAAATCTAGCAGGAGACGTGAAACACAGGTTTCTTTGGCGAGTAGTATGCGGGTTTTCCTGGCAGTGCAGGGGTTAAGGGTCTCCCGCGCGGCGCGGAATACGGGTGCGAGCCTACCAGAAGTCCCCGTGCTGCAAATATTGTACTCTGCGCACTTGAAAGCCTTGCTCCGCAGCGTGAAACAAGCCACTGCGTCAGGAAGTACGGCGATGAGTAGTAGCCACCGCTATCGCTTGCCGCAATAGGAAAAAAGCCCGCGCGTAGCAACGGCGACCCAACGCAGCCGCAAATCAGTGAAATTAATTTTTTAAAAATTAAGACTAAGAGTCTGATGAAAAATGGTAGTGAGTTATCCTGAGGGATGGGAAACTATGGGTCCAATTTATTGCTTGGAGAGTTTGCAAGCAATACGCACGAGGGCAAACTGAAATGGAGCCCAGTGGACCTTGTTGAGTTGAGAGCACGGAGCAGACAGCAGGAAAACCGCAGGAGTTATCTTTCAGCAGACAGACTCACAGAGATGAGAAAGATGCTAAAAGTAAATCAGAACTGCGAAGGAGCTCTGTTCAGCGTGCAGCACAGTACTGAGCAGTGCGGCCGTAGGAGGAAACTCCCTAAGATCGGGAGAAATCTTTGACAAGATCAGAGACTCACACAGGTCGTGCTTTTTACAAGCAGGTAGACTAAAGGGAAAAACAACGACAAAAATCGTAATTCGTACGCGGTACCATCTTGCCTGAGTAGCGGAAGCTGGTTAGCCCCAGAGGGAGCGCTGCTCGGAACCCCTTCGCAAATCCTAAAAGCAATACCTTGAAACGATCAACCTGTTTGCAAGTAACTTAACTGCATCCCTCAGCAAAGTTCAGCGTTTACAGGAACACAACTGTCCAGCTTCCAACAAGGCACCATTCACAATGCCTGCTGTATCAGAGATTTTGAGGTAGCCAGAGGCAGGAGGAATGACCCATAATGCAGAGACACATCGGTCATTTGTAAATGACCCAGAGCTGATACAGATGTTAGAATCACCAGAGAAGGACATTAAAACATTCATTCCACCTGTATTCCGTAACTTAAAACAGTTAAATGTACACACGGAAAAACATTTTAAAAAAAAAGACCCACTCTAACGTAGAGAGATGAAAACTACACTGTCTGAAAGGAAACGTACGTACTACAAGGGATTAACAATGAGAAATTCGAAAACACAGAAGAAAAAATTTTGAATAGGAATTGTCTTGACTTTGCAGAACACTTGGCGTAGAAAGCGACAGTCCCAAACGAAAGGGCGGAGGCGTCCTGAGATGGGGCGGTGAATACTCCGCGCGGGCGGTGCCATGGAGCTTGATTTATGACGTCCAGCTTGAGCAGGGGATGGCCGCCACCCGTGTGCGTGTGCCTTCATCCTCTGGCAGGTGTCCTGGAACGTACAAGGCAGATGACTTAGTGAAGGCAGCCCTCCAGGTGGTGCAAAGAGACCACGGGGCACCAGGTAAAAACCGGGAGCAGGCGGAGATCATCAGCTGGGTGGAGATTCCGGGAAAGGGTCTCTGGGGAGGAACTGAAAGGGCAGACGCATAAAAGCGACAGCTGAGACCTCGCTCATCGCATTCCAAGGCCAATCTTCGTCCCTGGGTGGGCTCGAACCACCAACCTTTCGGTTAACAGCCGAACGCGCTAACCGATTGCGCCACAGAGACGAGCGGCTGCGAGGTTTTCTTGTAACATCCTGGAATCAGAACGTATTTCCCGTCCCTTCCAATCCCAGCGGAAAAGAGATTCAAATGTATCTTGTCCAACCTCGCTGGCGCCATAGACACTGAGTCTCGTCGTCGGGCACGTCCGGCCGTGGACACCGAGCCCGAGTGAGCTGGGGGCTCCGACGAAGCCACGCCGGGCCCACGACCATCCTCGCCTGCTCCTGGCCGCCTCGAAAGCGGCCCCTCTACACGAGACGACGGCCGCCTCTCTCGGGCTCAAGTCCTCCATTTCCCACTCGTGATCGGCCTCACCCGTCGCGCTCACCGCAAGTCCCCCTCCAGGCCCGGGTGGTCGTACGGGGGAAGGACAGCAATCGGCTGTGCCCCCACCGTTCTGCCCCCTCTGGGCGCCTCCAGAGAAGGGCTCCACGAGGCACGACCCGGAGTTTGCTCACCAGGCAGCCCCTCGCCCGGAGCAGGGCCTGGCATCCAGCAGGCGCCCGATAAATGCCTCGCGGAGGATGCATTCCGCCGCCGGGGCCCGGCGTGGTGGGTAGACCAAGAATTCTTATGCCACCTGTAAGGTTTTAGTCCTCGAGGAACCTAGATTTTTCAGATCAGCTGTTCTTCAAAACCTTTCTTCTAGCAGCTGATTTAGAACCAGATAAAAGTCCTAGAAAGGCCAGGAGGGCACCACCCCGACCTGCTCTCAACTCCCCACCCAAGGCGGTGCTGCGGCCTCAGCCTGCGGGCGCAGGTGTCGGGTCTGAGAGGCGTGAAGGAGGAAAGCTGCAAAGGAGAAAGACGGCTGGGCTAACGTGGATCCGACCACAGCTCCGTAGGTCCCCGGTGGAGCATAGCGGTCGTGGTGTAATTGGTGCGGTGATGGGAGCCTGCCTGCTTGGTCTGAATTCGAATCCTAACAGAAAACGGGTTTCCCGTGCCTGATCACCCCCGGCAACACCGTATGGTTCTACCTTTTGGACTTGGTGCCTTGCCCCCTACTGGCCACAGAGCAGGCGGGAGAGGTGGCGAGCCGCACACCTCACCGGAGGACTCCACGTTCTGAGGACCCCCCGACTCCGCCCGAGACCCCCACGGCCTGAAGTCAGCATTTCCTCCAGCTGCGCCCTCGCTGACGCTCCCGGTGCCGCCCACTCTGAGGAGAGCGCCTGCGGCTCCAAGAACAAACTTCTCCTCTGTCTAACTGGGGGCATTTGGCTGGGTTCATTTGTTACATTGTGTTTTCGATGTCTAGAGGCGACATTTTAAAAATTAATTTTATAATGATTAACAAAATGAATGTGGTTCCCAACTCAAATCAAACCAAACACGGCATATTCACTATAGTCTAGCCTTGACTATAAGATCTGCACGTGTCTCAAAGGCCTGGAGGGAGGTGGGTCAGGGATCCCTGCTCTCCTCAGACGCCGGAATCCGCAGCCCGGGCTCCCCTTTCTGGCTGAGCTTGGGATGAAAGGATGAGATTTCCTAGAGTCCAGGTTCAAATCTTAGCCTAAGAGTGCCTTTTCGTGTCCAATGGAGACTTAAGAGCGAGAAATTCTGAATAAAATGGGAATAAACTGGAATAGGATCAATTAAAATTCTGAATAAAATAGGGCACCTGAATACAATACAGTACTTCCCATCCAGGTCTGGAACCCTCGACCCGAAAGCTAAGACGCTGTCACCCTGGCTGCTCAGCGACGTCACAGCCCCGCACCGCGACCCTTTACTCACAGGGACAAGCGCGCAGTTAGTTATAAGACGTGCGGTGCGAAGCCGCCTCGCGGGGCAGGAGTCAGTGGGCGCAGCCTCTGCCTTATGCCCCCGAAACCCAGGGTGACCCGACGAGGGGGTGCCACCGGCTCGGTCGCTGCGCCCCTGGGCATTGGGGCCGGGGCCTCCGATGGCCAGCGACGGGCAGAGTCGCCAGGGTGCAGCGGGGACGCCGCGGGCTCGTCCCCCCACCTGCCCTCCACGTCCGCGTGGACCGCGCGGACCGCGCCTCTCTGGGACGCGGGAGCGGGAAAGCACGTCACATCTGAGGAGTAAAAAATCCTTCTAACTAAACAGAAAGGTCCCACCGAGATTTGAACTCGGATCGCTGGATTCAGAGTCCAGAGTGCTCACCATTACACCATGGAACCCTCTAACGGCCGCTCCGCTGCTCCCTCCACTGAGCCAGGCCGCGCACAGCCCCGCGGGCCCAGGAGCGGCCTCCCGCCGGGCGCTCTCGTCACTCCGCCCCGAGCCCGCTTCCTCCACGACGCCAGGAGGCGCCTGACTCGCCTGCCCTCGGCCGTCTCTTCAGGTTTGCTGGTCGTAGAATGAAATGAAATCCATTCGGGGTGAGCGACAGGGAATAACTTTTAGGGCTCCCCTAAATCCACCTGCTCTGCCGCCATTTCTAGAGTTTTCTGCCCTGAGGTAAAATTCCCGCGAGGAAAAAAAAAAGTTCTTTTCCTCTTCTTTCCAAGTGTCCTCTTCCCGCTGCCCTGGGAGCTCTGAAGACCCTCAGGACAGCCCTTGGGACTTCGTGGGATTGCCTCCTCCTCCGCCTCCGATTCTACTCTCGAGAGCCCTCTCTCCTTCCTGCGTTCCTTGCTGTCTTCCTCCTCATCTTTCCCGCTTCCTGCATCTGCTTTGCTATCACTCGTCCTCACTTTCCCTGCGCCCGTCCCAGTACACAGCTTAGGCTATAAGAACATGGGGAAGAGCGGCCACAGTGTGACAGGAAGGTGAGGAACATTTTCTATCAACGAGAGAAGCCCGACTGCTTCTCGGGTCAGGACCCTTTAGGGGACTTTGCTCGAGGAAGTGGCTGAGCGTCTATAGCCAGTGCTCGAGGCCTGGGCAGCGCGGGCCTTTTGCCCGCCCGGGACCACCCTGGAGCCGGGGTGACTCCAAGATGAAGAACTTTGGGTTCGGCGCAGCTCCTGGGTGATTGGTCAAATGCCACGAAAGTGAACCGTCAGCACTCTTCTCCTTTAGACCTTCAATTGGGAATAATCAGTGGCTCATATCGCCCCCTCGTGGCTACATCCGGTACCGCGCACAATGGGGTGCAGTAGATACCAGAAAATTCAAAGAACGCTGGGCGATACTCAGGACCTTGAAATTAAAAAGCCGACAGGGCTTCTCCGGTGGCGCAGTGGTTGAGAGTCCACCTGCCGATGCAGGGGATGCGGGTTCGTGACCCGGTCTGGGAAAATCCCACATGGTGCGGACCGGCTGGGCCCGTGAGCCATGGCCGCTGAGGCTGCGCGTCCGGAGCCTGTACTCCGCGGTGGGAGATTCCACAGCAATGGAAAGGCCCAAGTACCAAAAAAAAAAAAAAGTCTAACAAACTACCGGCTAAAATACATTCATGGAGGGGAAAAAAGCATGCTCCTCCCTTTTGGCTACAAGCCAAAAAAGGGCTTGCAAAAGCAACTTTCTAATGTTTTAGGATTCAGGCAGAAGAAAGATGAATGGGTCATAGAACGTCCCACCTTCCGCAGCCAGCCTTCTTATTTTAAAATTTCCAGTGGCCCAGAGACTCTGCTGCAGGTCTCCCACCACCATCTGTGCACAACCCAACATCTGAGCGTCTGGACACTCATAACTCTTGAGTAGAGAGTGGGATCTTACACTCATTGTGTGGAAAGGGAGAGAAGAGAAAAGGTCTTGCCCCTTAGACTGAAGTATATTAGTCAGATTCAGTGGGGAATTATAAATGAGCCAGAGCTGTGGTTTATGTCCTGTTAACAGCGGTTACTCTTAGGGAAGTTAGTGTGGAGGAGAATTGAAATTTTTCCTTGTACATTCTTTTATCATGTAACTTACAAAGAATATATACAGGTGTAGCTTGGGTCTAAAAAAGAAAGGAAAAGAAAAAATGAAAGAAAGATGCTTCAGATGCCAGTGCAGAGGCAATTTAATTGGGGAGGGGGATGGAGAGCCTCTTTGGGGAGAGAACTCGGAGAGGGTGCAAGAATTCTGAGAAGATCCCTGGGGATAAAGCTGGAGCTGCACTAGGACCAATTGGGGCAGAGGAAGGAGGTTTGGCTACTGGGCTGAGCAGCATTCTCCTACAGCTGGGTTCTTCTGGGATCTATCCCTGCCCTCATACTCTCCTCTAAATCAGATGGCTCTCAAAACCACGCTCCCCCTACTAACGCTGTCTGTGCTTGTGAAATGAGTGTGATCACAAAGGTTGATGATTTCATAATGATTGGACCCCATTTCCCATATTTAATACATAACATACATTATATTTAATACATATAATACATTATATTTAATACATAACATTACATTACAGTTAATACATAACATACCTAGAGTACTTTGCAGCCATAAATGTGAGGAATATCTCTATGAATCAATATGGATTTATTTCCAGAATGTGCTTTTATGTGGAAAACAAAAGGCAAGGTACAAAAGAGCAGGTACACAGTGTACCAATCCCGGTCTTTGGACTTTTCAGTCAATAGAAATTGATGAGACCAGATGAGAATTTCAGGCAAGGCTTTACTGGGGCTTGTGCTGCAGCACAAGGGAGTGAAACCTAGAAACAGGTGCCCTTGCTTGCTCCCAGAGAGAAGCTGCTTGGGTCATTAAAAGGAGTAACAACAGGGGCAGTCCATGGATTGGTCAGGGGACCTAGTTTAGGTGGTCTGCCCACCCCCTTGGTGGTGCTGTGTGCAGGGATCAGGTGCAGTACCCTGCTTTTGCTCCAGGCACCTCAGAAATGGCAGTTGGTTTGTGGCCTTTTTGTAGTGTATTGTTCATAATTGTCCCAACAGTGAAGGTGTGCAGTTATTTTATTTTTAGTCCGTTATAGTTTCTTTGTATTCTGTTGCTCTAGGAGATGTTTGTCCAGGTACAAGCCCTCCAGTAAAGGGTCCTAGGTCCCAGCCTATCTCAACAGGATGCTATCTTTTATGTAAGGAAAAGGGGAAATAGATATGCTTATCTTACAGGAAGGATAGGCCAGAAAATAATGAAAATGTTTTTATCTAGGGTTGCACAGGAATGGAGTCTAAGATATGGAGATGGGAGGGGATTTTTTCTAAGTGTATCTTACAGTTTTCATTTTTTAAACGATGTCACTGTTTTACATATTCCAAAAGAGGATGAAAAAGCTAATCTTAAAATTAAAAAATAAAAGCAGAACAAAAGAATTTAATTATATATCAAATGATAGTGTAACCACATAGAATATAATTAATTCAAGTAAATTTTGAAAGCAGTGCTTGTCTGTACACCCATAGTGTGATATATCCTAAGGACATCTTGAACTTTACTTAATAGGTTTAAGGTTGGTTGTAGAATTGGTATAATAATTCTGAAGCTGTCTTGTGTGTATAGTAGGATAGAGCAAATAAGTAAAAATGTTGATATTGTCAGGAATCAAGGTTATCAACTTGGGAGATGAAGGACAAAATTATGAAATGGGAAGAGCTGAGGAAGAACCTTATAGTGTTGGATTGGAATTGGAGATAGCCATATCAACTAATTGTTACCGAGTTCAAGCTCTCCTACTTTGTGCTGCACAACAGGCCAATAAATTGAGAGATGAATTGTTAGGACAAGAAAAAGTGACTTGATTCAGAAAGCCAGCAGACAGAGAAGATGGCGGACTAATGTCCCAAAGAACCATCCTATGGAGTTAGAATTCAGGCTTCTTTTATACTGAAAGGGGAGGGAAAGTGATTGGTTATTGAAAATTTCTTGGTGCCAGAATCATTTGTTCTTGCAGCTGTCTGAGTAGGTCTGATCACAGTGTTCCTATAAACTTCCAACAAGACATTATGCCTTTTAGAGATCAGAGCCTTGAGAATGGGCTGTCTTGTATATTTCAGGCTATAGGCAACATTCTTTTAGTTATTAACTTGTAGCAAAAGCAATAGAATACAGAGTTTAAAGTAAAAGAACCAGATCCAATCTGGAGTCAAATTTGTTCTTCCCTATTACAAAATGATACCCACTGATAAGGTCTAGAAGCAGTGATACCTCACAGCAATGAGCTCATCTAGTGGTCAGTTTCTAAATACCATTTGTCTGGGATCCCTTGTAGAAATGCCTGATTTTGTGTTGGGGGAGAAAAGTATAAGTGAGCCTGCAACATTTTGTTGTGTCCAAAGACTAGTACAGACATGTCAAAAGATCACAGGGCTTCCCTGGTGGCGCAGTGGTTGGGAGTCCGCCTGCCGATGTAGGGGACACGGGTTCGTGTCCCGGTCCGGGAGGGTCCCACGTGCCGCGGAGCGGCTGGGCCCGTGGGCCATGGCCACTGAGCCTGGGTGTCCGGAGCCTGTGCTCCGCGGTGGGAGAGGCCGCGGCAGTGGGAGGCCCGCGAACCACAAAAAAAAAAAGATCGCAGAAGCCAGCCTGAAAAGTTCCCCTGTTTAACCTGGAGACCAATGGAGCATCAAAAAGAATAATGATTATATTATTACATACTGAATGAGAGGGGAATCCATATAATATATATGTAGTATACACATAGTATAATCCATGTGCTATACTTAAAGAAAAGAAGGAGGAGGGAAAGCTGTATCTTATAGAAGAATAGCAGTTAATAAGTGTGGAAGGAAAAATAAGGTTGTCTGTTAGAGTCCATGTTTACAAGAAATGATTAAGTTTTCATTTTGCGGGGGGGACCAAAGCTAAACTGGGTGACCACAGGTTTCTTGTTTATCTCAGGTTTTAGATGTTGGCTGCAGATGGTGTTCATGTTTATTCATAATGGTGAAAGGGCAAAATGTCAGTTTTACTACCCTAGTTCCTCTCTGTAGTCAAATTTCTACCTGTAAGGCATGGTTCCATTCACCTAAGTGCTTGGCAATTTTCTGGTTCAATACAATTATTTTGAATTTTTATTTTATTTGACAAGTTTTATTTGCATAGCTGTAAAAAGAAATGTTGATTAATGCCCATAAACATCCTTTTTAACATACAGTTAATGTAATTAGATACTAAGGCTATGAGTTAACTTCTTTCTGGAAGCCTTGTAAAGCCTCTGGGGTTGTAATTTATTTTGGAGGGAATGCAAGAAGTATTTTATTCTCTTACCAGTTTTACTGAGATCAAGAACTAATAATTATCCAGACTACCTCTACCAGGATTTATCTGCTGCTCCTAAAACTGTATGGGTCCTCTTTCCCTAAGATCCCCATACTTGTCAATGTTGTGGCCTATAGAAAGGGACATCTTTTAGTATCTGTAAGCCTGGGATTCCATAAGCCGTATACCAGGTAAGAGACCATTTTTCTGAAAGGACTTTGTAGGCATCATTTCTATAAGTGAAGTATGGCTCTTATGCCTTAAAGTGAGTTTGCACACCAAATTTAACAAGACCTGTTGCATGGTCATATATTACAATATAATTACAATATAATATATTATTATGTTCTGGTAGGAAGAATAAGGATTCTTACTGAATATTTGTAAGTAACTACAAGATCATGAAAAATAAAGGAATTTAATAAAAGCATTTTCCATTATGTTTAACCATTGTTACATTATGCTGAATAGTTTTGTAAGCCAATCAACACGTATGTTTTTTTTTTCTTGGCCGTGCCACGTGGCATGTGGGATCCTAGTTCCCAGACCAGGGATCGAACCCGTGCCCCCCTGCAGTGGAAGCATGGAGTCCCAACCACTGGACCACCAGGGAATTTCCCATATTATTTTCTATAGAGTCATTATACTTAGATTTTCTTGATGTTTAATTGGCTTACAGTCTATAGTAAGACTTCCCCAGGATGTCTTTTCAGTATTCCAAAGACTCAGGTATCATGAAATACCATTTAAACAATGTTTCATTTCAGTTTGTACAAATAGACCCTGTTAAATTGAGGAGTCAAGGTGTATTAAAAAGAAAAGGAGTTTTCTCATATGCACACTAAAGAGAATATTAACCACAATTTGATTAGTTCTTTTGGTACATTTAGACCCAGTAATTAATTCATGTTTTGTTGATCTTGGGTAAATAATCTACTTCCTTACAAAGTCATCTGCTTCTGGGTAAAAGAGTCCTGGAAATCCTTGCAGGAATCCTTGTACAAGTTGGAGTCACTTGCACAGTCTGACAAATGTCTGTCTGAGGTGATGATGTTAGCTTACACTGGAAGCTGTACCCATGAGTCTATTTCCTGTACTATTAACAGTTAAGACTAGATACAGT